TTCTCCAGCACCTTTGCCAACACCTTAAATACGGACTGATGTTCCGTTGAAGCCGTGCCCCCCATCGTTCCCAGTCACTCACCTCCTCCTGTTGAGGGAATTTTCGCTTTTTCTCTTTCCGTTCCTATTTCTTTGCGTCTCCCGATATGGAAGACCCCATTGTCCCTGGCTGCTCCCCCGCATCCTGCCCGGCTGGTAAATTCATTCCAGACTCCCCAGTTCCTGTATCCCACTGGTAAATTCATTCCAGACTCCCCAGTTCCTGTATCCCACTGGTAAATTCATTCCAGACTCCCCAGCTCCTGTATCCCACTGGTAAATTCATTCCAGACTCCCCAGCTCCTGTATCCCACTGGTAAATTCATTCCAGACTCCCCAGTTCCTGTATCCCACTGGTAAATTCATTCCAGACTCCCCAGCTCTTGTATCCCACTGGTAAATTCATTCCAGACTCCCCAGCTCTTGTATCCCACTGGTAAATTCATTCCAGACTCCCCAGCTCCTGTATCCCACTGGTAAATTCATTCCAGACTCCCCAGCTCTTGTATCCCACTGGTAAATTCATTCCAGACTCCCCAGTTCCTGTATCCCACTGGTAAATTCATTCCAGACTCCCCAGCTCCTGTGCCCCGCTGGCACATTCGCCCAGCCAGGCTCCGCCGCCGTTCGCTCTCCTCCCGCGACTCCGGCCCGTCAGTCGACTGGAACATCAGGTCCCTGTTGGGCGCCATTTGCGGCGGGTTAACGCACGGGCCCCGCGATGGGATCCCACAGACTTTATTACAATTTACAAACAGCTTTCAGAGATCGTTTTGCCAGCCACGATGTGCCCAGCGCCCTTCGCTTGGTTATGCTGGGTTACAGCCAGCAGTGCACGCGCCTGTTTTAGCTTCACTATTAGCTGTGCCTAAAACACCATTATTTTCTGCCTGCTAAGCTGAATGCCAGCTGATCACAGACCCCATGCCAGCTGATCACAGACCCTGTGCCAGCTGCTCACAGTCCCTGTGCCAGTGGCTCACACTCCCTTTTCCTTTTCTCAGCATTCTTCCTTTTTATCGGCATTTCCCAACTCGGCCAAGAACACAGGCTTAAAGCATCAAGGTCAAACCCAAACTGCAACCACGTGTAGGATTCCACAGACAGTGTCACCTGGGGCCACGTCCCTGTGCCCACCTCTGGGGCCCCAGTGCCCCATCCCACAGCCCGGTGCTGCTCCGGCTGCGGGTCCCACAGGGAGCACAGAGCTGGGGACACCCCGTTTGTCCCCCCCGGTCCCAGGCCGAACCTACGGCTGCGCTGCCGGAGCCCCGTCCGTGCCTGCGAGAGAGAAACAGCCGTGAGCTGCAGGCCCCGGGCTCGCTGCGGGCACGGTGCGCGTGCCAGGAGCCGGCCCGGGAGCCACGGCCACGCTGCAGCCACCGGCACAGGAGGGTGGCACCGCGAGCACCGCAGGGCAGACACGGCCTCTTCCAGGCATCCCCCCACCGGGACTTAAGGAGGGGCGTCAGGGAGGGTGGGGGGTCAGGAGATGCCAGCAGCTG